CGTTCTGAAACCGGCCCAGCCCGACTGTTACATTCTGCGACTTCACACGGGCGTCCACAGGCCCGACACACCGGTTCAGGGGTACCCAGGCCGGCCTCGCCAAAGGCCAGGCTTTTTCCTACCGGTAGGCCCTATTAGGCCACCGGTTGGGCCCCAGCGCCAGCAGACCCAGGTTGGCCCAAACAACATGACCGTTTGGGCCTGGCAGCGCTCTTGAGGCTGCCGCCCACCGGTCTGGGCTGAACGGACATTTCGACGGTTCAGCCCACAGCGCAGGAGGCCAGCATCGAGGCTGACCGGCCGCCGGACGGTACTTAGGCCGGTCCAGCGGCCATTCTCGCGGGTTGGAACGAGGAGTAGAGAGAGGCAACGCTGCGCTATTTCGGTTGAGCGCAGCACCAGGAACTGCAGTCGAGGAGGAGCACGGAGGAGCGAGGAGGACTTACCTGCGACCGTGGAGCGCCATAGCTCCCGCGACCTGCAGTCGATCTCCCTCCACCGCCAAGGCGCCAGCTTGTTACCTGCAGGTTTGGCCTGAGGCCCTGACCAGGTTCCCCCTCTCTACCTCTCCTCTCCATCTCCATCTTCTTCCACTATTCCTCTTCTTCTTCTTCAGACTTCATCTTCTTCTTCTGCTCTTTTCTCCTTCTTCTTCAGACTTCATCTTCTTCTTCTTATTCAGATTGGAGACTGTGATACGAGTTGGACAGAGATCAGTGTTTGGACTTCGGTGGTAAGAGGCTGTGATACTTACCGGATTCGAGACTTGGAGGTAGCTGGGATTGGTACTCGGCGGCATCACAGATTTGACACCGGTTACATTAGGACTCTGTACCTCCGACATTGGTGACTTATTGTCCACGACATTCTGGTCTTGTTCGATGACATTTTGGACTACCATATCGGCGACCTACTGGATTCTATCTCGGTGACACCTGGCGCTGTCTACACCTCCCACCTCCATCGTCTCTCCTCCCACCTATCATCTGTGTATGGTTGTACGGGGCCTGAGCATCGTCTATGGTTGGCTCAGACCCCACCATCTCACGATTGTTTTGTGTGTTGAGTGATATCTGTATGAGTTCAGTCTATGTGAGTCAGTCCATTTCTCAGACTTCCTTGTGTGTTGAGTGATATCTGTATGAGTTCAGTCTATGTGAGTCAGTCCATTTCTCAGACTTCCGCTGCATACATGTTCATCCTATATTGGTTGATCTTTGGTTCTGCCCATACTTGTTGAAGTATTCACGAGTATGCAACACCGACCGATTGGAGCTTTTGCTCCTGAGTGACTTGATACTCTGCCACCCTGCCCTCTGGTCGTAGTAGGTGTCAGGGGTCCGATGGCTTCGTTCTTTTTGTGGGGAGCTGCACCTGCTGGAAAACGGTGTAATGAACCCAGTCTGTAAGATACTCGCCAGATGTTGAAATACAAAGTAACTCAACTCTGAACAATGTCTCCAATAATCATGAATGTGATCTCTGATACAATGTCTCGTTTCCAATAGACGAAGAGAGTGGAGGGGGAATAGACAGATTAGAAGGTGGAAGGGATAGTAACCATCAATGACCACAAAGGAAGTAGCCCAACAGTTCCCACTCCTCCTCCGGGCTTCCCTTCTCCTCCACGTCAGCAGAACAGTATCCAGTAACGAGCCTAACAGATCCTGATCACAATGAAGTGCCACGTGGCACAGTTCTCTCGTGAAGACGTTGGAGACAATCAGCAGCGCACAGTATCAACATCAACCGCAGGTAAGTATCCCGTTCCTCTCAATCATCCACAGATCCCGATCTCCCTCCTTGTCGCGGTCAACTAAGCAATGTAGACAATATGGCAATTGCCACGTCAGCAAAGAAGACAGAGTGGCTTGCGCCACATCAGCAATGTTGATGACAGTGTGGCCCTGCACCATGTCAGCACAGGCTGGTGCCAACGCAGAAGGCGCTAGCATGCAGCAGCAGTCTCTCGTTGTCGTCCACAGTGCCAGCATACATCCAGCGCCAAGCCAGCGTCCAGCCAGCGTCAAGCCAGCATCAAGGCAGCATAGCAAGACTGGATTTTGACTCCCTGGAGGCCAGGCCTTATGTAATGTTTGACGAGGCTGACCGGCCTCAGGTATCCCACCCACGGTGGCTCAGATTGACTCACAGCCAAAGGCCTGGATCGCGTACAGTTGCAGACTTCCACTTGGTCCGAATGCTGTCTTGATACCTGCATACAAACAAGTGTGTGTGTCTGACCGGTGTCCTGGGCTGGGTGCATGCAGACTTTGACTCTTGGGCCGCTGGGTAGTTGACCGTATTCAACTGTCGGGCGCACCGGCCCTGAGCCAACTTGGGGTTTTCCTCCCCCTTGGCCTTTGCGGCCTCAGACCGGGGTCACGGCCTGTGTGTGGCTCTGAGGCCACCTCAGGGCATACTGAGCGGGGTATTGCAACGGGTCCAGTGTCCCAAACATTCATGAGAGTTCTCAAAAGTCATGGTTCACTACATCTATGTTATCTCAGCAAGGCTGCCCGGCCTCTTCGACTGCAGGCGCCAGAAAAGAGTGAACAACTAGCCCAACTATCCTGCTGAAAGACAAGCAACTAGACTGAAAGACAAGCAACTAGACACAGTCAGTCTTGATCTAAAATGCTTCTCAAGTGCTTCTAAGAGAGCTCGAAAAGGATATTGTAACTGCCCTGGGAAAGTCACAGCTATGAACTGATGTTTCTCTCACTCAGGGGGGGGGCGTGGCCGCGTGGACCCTGAAACCCTCCCCTTCTCCAATGTGGTGGTGCCCTCCCC